TAGTCCAAACTTTTGCCTCATTTTATCACTCACAAGAACAAAGGAGTCAAATTAAGCAAAAACATTTTGAAAGCTTCCAACTCTCTAACCAATCCTGGTATGGTCCTTGGTGGAATTAAGATTTGAGGATGAATAATCATCCAAGTCAATGATAATATACCTTATGTTGCCATAGCTAGCTAATTACTCTAAATTGACATAAGAAGTATGACATAATGTACTCAAGACCAGTACCAATGAAATTGAAGCATATCCAATGAAGACACATCCATTCTCTTTCTTGATACATTGATGCTCTCTCTAACGAAGCTGCTTGTCATCTTAACTGGTGGTGGCACCCATTTAGTGAGACTACATGAATAACTTAATATGGTTAGTGAAACTGAAGACAGCCTTCTTAAATAAACACAATGACAATATCCAGAGGTGGCCATAACTCACCCTCTGATCTTATCCAAGTATTCTGGTGGGCGCTCCCGACGAACTCTGTTGACAAAGATGCCATATAGATCTTCAGCAGGCCCATCTACAAAATCAAACAGCTAATGGTAAACAAACTTTTGAAATATTCACCCTAACAGATATGATAAAAGAGCAAAACCAACTTCAACAAATGAAAATACACAGGTAGGCAGACTCTTTAACAAAATTAAAGAAAGTGAGGCATGGATTCTAAAGGGGTTTTTACATATATTAGCCATGTCAAAGGTGGTAAGACTGGCATCAGCATATAGAAGCATAGCATCCACAGATGGTCAATCGCACCCCACTCACCCCTCCTCTGCCACATTCCATTCACAAGCCTACTTATCTCCATTGAATCCTTCCCTTTCATAACCACAGTTCTTCTCTTTTCTTGTTCAAGCACGCACTGAAATGGCCTCACTTTGAATTTTCTCATCACAGTGTATGATTTCGCAACTGTGGTTAAGTGGTTTCCCATTTAGGTGAACCAAATGGGATTTGCTTGAAGAATAACTCAAAACGATAGCCATTTCAGAGAAAAGAGACCGCTTGGTTCTATCCCATCTGCTTCTCCTCCCTGACCCTGAGTAGGGAACTCCATTGATTTTACGAAAATTATGATAAAGTTAACGAATTTTCACTCGCACTATATCATGCATCCACTTATTTAATACTTGTTACGCTGATTTAATAACAATTATAAACTTATTCAGTTGATTCTACAATAGTGAAGTTGTACAGTTCATATTGCTAGGTGGCATAAGATTGACACGTGAACACCCCAATAAAGAAGTCCATTGAAAAAGACTACACGTCAGTTTAACTTACAGTGGTCGGCCATGTCGAAGGTAGAGAGACCGGCGTCGGCGTACCGGAGCATGGCCTCGACGGCATCGTCTCTGTCGATTCTGCCCCAGCCTCCACTGGTCTGCCACATGCCATTGAGGACCCTACAAATGTCGAGCGAATCGTTCCCGTTCTTTACAGTAACTCGCCGAGTCTCCTCCCCCGTCGCCACGGAGCATTTTATTGAGTTAGAGACGAGTCGGCTGCAGCCAGACCGAGTTTTAGTGGATTTGGATTTGTAAAGCACGAGATTGTTGAGGACAGCAACAGCTGCCATTTCTGGTGCCAACAGAAGGTGAAACGAAATTGGAGAAGCAGAGGGGGCGATAAGGCTGCCTTTTCCACAAACTTAAAAAGACATTTTTACCCTTAAATCTCGCAATTTCCAGCGAACATATAGGTACATGGCTGGCGTTGGGAAAAGCTTTTTACCCTTAACTGTTTATACCATTTTTATATATTATTTAATTAATAAATACATTTAATATTATAAATTTCATATAAATTAAAAAAATTAATCATTTTAATTATATATTAAATTATAAAAAAAAAAAACATTGTAAAAAGATAAAATAAAAAAATATACAACAATCATCTCCCATAGCTACATAGGTATATATATATATATATATATATATGAGAAAAACGGTTGTCAATTACTGCCACGTGTATAATTGTTATTGTCAGATA